ATGTCGGTGACGTCATCAGTGACGTCGCTGATGACGTCATCAGTGATGATGACGATGACGATGCGGATGCCGGTGACGACATCAGTGACGTCACTGATGACGTCATCAGTGATGATGACGATGACAATGCGGATGTCGGTGACGTCATCAGTGATGATGACGATGACGATGTGGATGCCGGTGACGTCATCAGTGATGATGACGATGACGATGTGGATGCCGGTGACGTCATCAGTGATGATGACGATGACGATGTGGATGCCGGTGACGTCATCAGTGATGATGACGATGACGATGCGGATGCCGGTGACGTCATCAGTGATGATGACGATGACGATGTGGATGCCGGTGACGTCATCAGTGATGATGACGATGACGATGTGGATGCCGGTGACGTCATCAGTGATGATGACGATGACGATGCGGATGCCGGTGACGTCATCAGTGATGACGATGACGATGCCGGTGACGTCATCAGTGATGATGACGATGACGATGTGGATGCCGGTGACGTCATCAGTGATGATGACGATGACGATGTGGATGCCGGTGACGTCATCAGTGACGATGACGTCATCGGGGGGTCACGCGACATCGGCGGGGGTCACGTGACCTCGAGGAGGGGGCCACGTGACCTCAGGGGAGTCACGTGACTTCGGGGGGTCACGTGACCCCCACGAGGTCACGTGACCTTGGTGGGGGGCTCGCGCGGTGCATTATGGGACATTTCCCATGATGCACCGCGCGGTTACGCCGACGCCGACGGCGACGGCGACGCCGACGCCGACGGCGACGCCGCTCAAGCCGGAAACGGGCCCCTAAGAGCTGCGCTCTAAAATATGCACATGTGCTCATTTGAGCCATTAAAAATTAGGAGTTAGTTCAGTCCCAACTTGAACTTACAGGTCGTAGAGGCACAGGTCGTGGAAGAGCCACTGAATGATCCTCGATCAGCAAGGCACGTACTGCCCCCTCGTGTGTTTTTGTAATGCCTGCGCGATGTCCAATGGCACTTTTGGAAACCTGTATTCCGATGGAGCTTTCGACGGAGCTTTTGATGGTGCAGAGTCCTCTTGAATGACGACATCCATGATTCTAGATATATAAAATAAAACATATTCGCTTCAGTTAAAAAAAACAAAAAAACACTGAACAATTTTGAATACAAGAATGCCCTTGATTTAATTTGTTTTAAAGTACAGGAACCAAATTTTAGGTCATAACTTGTTCACACAGACACGTGCATATGTTATCTTTTATCCCACAGGGAAACCAAAACATGTCAAAAGTGCAAACAACTATAGCTGCATTGTTTCTACCTAGAAGACTCGGTTTCAACTGCTAAAAGCCAGCATCTATACATGATGTCAAAAACAAGTTGAGCCCAATTATGCTACACAGACAGTCTTGAACATTTTCTTGCAGGGGCGTCGTTGTTGTCAGTCCTGATAACAGCACTTGAAGCACACATGCCTGACTGCTTCAGTCTTTGCAAGCATTTTTACCCACCTGAACTGTGACTCATCCAAAGAAATGGTTACCAGCGCTGCATCCTCGAGGATCGTGCCCTCCATGAGGTCCACATCTGTTTTATACCGAGGATGGTATACCTTGTGCGACAAAAGAATGAAAGGAAAGTTATAGGCATCACTGTCAACACACGTAACCTAAGGTATGTACAAGTAAAACCAGAGAACACTTCACAAAAATCTCTGACGGGCCTACACGTATCCATATCCTAAAACGGCCTCCTGGTCACAAGTGGTGATGCATCGCAGAAAGCTGATACTCCTCCGCCATACCCTGACGCTAGCTGCCTGTACAAAATGCTAAAGTTTAAGAACACGACATTACTTGGTTCAAAAAATATGAAAGGAAATTTTCAGTGAGCCGGTGTGTAGTTCAGCGTAAATTTTTACAAAAGAAAAATTACACTGTGGGCATAGTCGTAAGATTACTTCCAACAGCTCAGAACACGTAGAAAGGGCTAGCGCTGAAAAGTTTAGTGATCCTGTATTCGATTCACGCATGAACCCGTTTCGATTTCAATGAGCATCGAACGGGCGAGCTCCAACTCAGCAAAAGGCACCAAGCGCTTGAAATGCCAAGATGTCTAGCGAGGGTCTCGTGCTAATGCGCCTTTTTACATAAACTGTTCGGTCGTGCGGTGGAGAAATCACGAAGCAGTTTAGAGAGGGCCTAAAAGCATGTGCTTGACCAAACAATTTGATGTAGAAGGGCACACTAGCGCGAGACCCAGGCATTTCAAACGCTTGGTGCCGTTTGCTTAGTTGGAGATGCAGATTCTCGCGGGCAACTTTCTGCCGCGAATCCGACGAGAGGATAGCCCCTGCACAGTCTTAATCGGCGCTCAAGTTGCGTGATCGAACATAGCTTAGACTTCATTGCCACAAAGTTTAAGAACGTACTAAAGCTCCACTTCCAGCGAGAGCTTTGTAGCCTTGGTTACAAAAGCGTGCACGCGGAGAATGGCCATGAGCGCGTGCTGGATTCGGAGCTTTAAGTTCGTTCTTCATCGTACCGCACTCTTATACAAGTGCTGCCCGGTCCCACGCTGACCCCGCACAAAGCACAAATGACGTAAGTGAGCTCACCTGGATGTGGCTTGTTTGCAGGTCCACTCCTTGGAACAGCACATTGCCAGCAAGGGTCCGAATTCAATCGGCGCGCTTATGCTCTCCGTCAACAACGACAACTATCTTGTGTGCGCCGTACGACACCAAGCACTCAATCGCGCTCATTGCACCATTTCCGCGTTAAGCCACGCCAGCCACGCTCGTTAACTGAGGTCTCCACAGCTGAGGAAACCGTCGCCGAACTTGGAAAAGTTAGGGTGATGCGGGAACGCCGAGAAAGTCCAACCAACGTAGCAACGTAGTTCCCTGCTTTCGCTTTGAACCACAACGCAGCCGTTGTGGAAACCGCGCGCCGATCCTTGTTTGTTGTCGCTTCCGGATGTAGAGCTACGGGCACACGACCGTTGGTCTCAGCACGCACGTGCAAGCCGCGCAAGCCGCGGCTTGCGCGTGGACTGGATAATATAAATTGAAAGCTTAAAGTATATATTTTAGTTTTTCGTGGTGATGTTTTTATTACAAAATTGTGGGTCATAAGGCGTTTTTGCTTTGTTACATTATACCAATTCAATACTGCATAATCAAAAATAATATAAGAAAACATTTTCGCTATCTTGCTAGTCAATCTGATTTTGGCTCCAATTTCGGCTAGCGGATGGATAAATGTTAACGGCTATACCCTTTGTAACGGGCGGTAGCTTGCACCACCTAGTTTAAGTCTAAAAAGACAAAAACGTGATTTCTCCCGCCTTTTCAACCCCCAACTATCACCAGGCAGTGTGGGATATCACCAAAATAACCTTCAAGGGATCGGGCAAAAAAAAAAAACTATAAACATCATTCCCCTGCTTCTTACCCCCGGCTAGGGAGTCGCCAATTTTCCTCTGGTCAATCAAACCTTTTAGGCGTTACCCCAGCACCGGACCCACTGGGAGAGACTTTGGGCCGGAGCCACGCGGGAGGGAGTCCCAATTTTCCTCTGTCCCGCCTGTTCCCAGCTGTGCTAGTTAGTTGTCCATCATTCAATTTTCCCTAGATAATTTCCACCAATCTTCTAATCGTCTTAATTATAAAGCGATTAAATGCAAAGGTGCAAGCGAGCTGGACAAGAATGACGAATGGAGATTTAGGTTGGTCCTTTGTCCCACTCGTTCTCCTTCTTCAGGGATTATTTTCGTCATTCTAATCATCTCTTTGTCACTGTAATCCTTTTCTCAACCGTCCTTCCATCGTCGCCTGCGAAACCCAAGGCCGTGTCCGTCCGCGCAGTGTTGCCAAATTGGGCTATATATAGCCAAATTGGGCTACATTTTTTTCTAGTTGGCGTCAAAATTTTGTTGTTGGCTATGTGACTATTTTGGGCTATTTCTAAGGGTACTGCAAACTTTTGTCGAAACCTCAGGTTCGACTAGTTAATTTTCAAACTTCTTATCGGCTTCAAAGAAAATTGTTCCTGTTTCGTCCAGTCGAGAGGAGAGAGAGGAAGGAGAAATTGGTTTCAAACTTCGGGGTTTTCACAATGCGCAGAGGCAATGCTTGCAGAGTTCAAGCGGTCTTCCCACAGTGCAGTGGAGCAAACCAAATTGCACTATTACCACAGGCCCAGTAGCACGTCTTCTACCTGAACCTAGACTGAACTTTCCAAACGCTGCTTTGGTGCCCATATTTGAGAATCCTTAGGCACCCAAGTTCCTAAGAATGAGAAGTCCGCAGCTTCACCGCTAAACAATTGACTACCTTCCAGTCGTCGCCCACCCCAACAAAGCACAGTGAACAGGAATGGGGGACACTCATATTCTACAGAAAGAAAAAGAGACGGGTGTCCGTGTTAGATATTGGGATTCTGGTTTGAAACAGTGTTCTTACTGTTCTCCTTCTGTATTTTGTTTTTACTGTATGATCATATCTCCCGGACTTGATAATAAAGCTGTCTTTGTTTGTTCTGCATTTCTGAAAACCTACGAAGGAAGGGTCAGTGCTGCACGGATCTTTATCCTTCCGAAACAAATTTTTGAAACCTTCATAAGGGACATAATGTGCACAAAATGTGGTGCACCTGAGGGTTGAAAAAGAAAATGCAACGTGTCTTGTATGCGCGTGAAAACTGCCAGTAAAAGGCTTTAAAATAATTGTTTTTAGTTTTGGCTATATCTTTTTTTATGGATAAGGATGGCTAGTTAGGCTATATTTGGCTTTGGATATATTTGGGCTATACTCCCCAGCGATTTGGCGGTTTTTTGTGGGGCCGTCTGGCAACACTGTGGTATCATGGTGTGAATGGTGCTGAATGTTACTACAGTGAACTACTGTAATAGTACTCGACAACGTGCCTTCGCGTCGAAACCAAATACCATGGTTTACTAACGTGTCGTTCGCAAGTTGCTTATTGTTCTGTTAAGAAAAATGGTAATAAGATACTGTCCAAGGTGCCCATACTTTTCTGAACAGTTCACGAAGGTGGTCAACCACATCGGAGTCGTTCATAGCGGTGACGACAGCTTCACAGTATATTGTGGAATCGCCGGTTGCACAAATAGCTACAACCGGTTTGCATCGTACAAAACTCACCTTTATCGGTGTCACAGGGATCTGCTGGAAAGCACTGGAAGTGCCTTCGACCGCGATCGAAGAAATGAAATCCAGGACTGCCCAGCCACTGACCAAGGGGTTCTGAGTGACGATGCTGAAATGCCACAAGCGCCCCAGCCGCAACAAAGCAGCGGATCTCCAGAAAGAGAAGAGTTCAGCGATTTTGTGACAGAAGCCAAAGCTGCTATTTGGAACTTCTTTTTCAACACAACTGAAAACCACAAACTGGCACACACTGTGGCCGAAAAAATCTTCGGCAATCTGCATCTTGTTTTTGAGCGCATCATCAAGGCATATGCTGCTGAAATCGCAGCCAAGATTGATGCGTCTGCTCTGTCCCCAAATGCCATCTCACTGTTGGAATGTTCGTTCCTGCCCCGCCTTTTTGAGGGGATACAAAGCAAACACGTGAGAGAACAATATGCAAAGACAGATTTTCCATATGTCGAGCCAGTAAAATGTGACCTCGATACTGAAGGGGGCTGCTACCACTATGTACCAGTCCCGAGACTCCTTGCAAAGCTGTGCGAGGTTCCTGACATCGCTGCCCAAATCTACACACCACAAGTGCGCCGTGACGACCCCAAGGTGTATGCCGACTTCACTGATGGGCTCCTGTTCCAAGATTTCAGGGATCTTATTTCGGAAGGAGTGCAGTACACCATTTTTCTTATGCTATACAGCGACGAGGTAGAGATATGTAACCCCCTAGGAGCGAAACGGGGCGTGCATAAGCTGCTCGCCGTGTATTTCACCTTGTTGAACCTGCATCCAAGGCACAGGTCACAGCTGAGGTCCATCTACCTGGTGCTCCTTGTGAAGTATGAAGATGTACAGCAGTATGGCTTGGACGTCATTCTGAAGCCATTCATCAGTGACCTTAAGGAACTGCACTCATCTGGGCTTACGTTCACGAGCGGAGGAGCAGTGCGCAATGCACAAGTGTTTGTGCTATGCGTGTGTGGAGACAATCTGTCCATGAACCGCCTTGGAGGGTTTTCATGCTGTTTTAGTCAGGGCAGGGTATGCCGCGCTTTTGTATGGCGGCATCTAAAAGTCTGCTAGAGGTCACAACTGAGGATTCCTGTGCCCTGCGTTCAGCTCGGGCACATGAGCAGCACCTGCAAGCCATTGCTATTAACCCGATCGCCAACAAGAAACTTTATGGTGTCACTGAACGCTCCGTACTGTTTTGGAACTGCCCTACTTCGACGTCACACGTCAGTTGCCTCCCGACCTGATGCATGACATTTTGGAAGGGGGGTTTCAGTGCATTCTCCGACAAGTTTTGAAGGCATTAGTTCAGGGGGGCACGCTGGCATACAGCGATTTGGATTACATAGCTTCATTCGAGTACGGATGGAATGACAAAAAAAGAAAACAAGCCTGTTGCAATGAATAGGTCCTTTCTGACAAGCAAAGCGAACCTGAAGGGCACTGCTTCTGAAAAGTGGTGCCTTCTCAGACTCCTGGGTCTGATTCTTGGGGACCTGGTCCCAGTAGGTGATGCGGACTGGGAGTTGTATCTGCAGTTCCGCGAGATTGTGGACATCGTCTTCGCTACGGTAATACCATGCGAGTACCTTACGTACTTAGAGACGACTGTGCAGACCTTTCTCGTGGACTTTGCACAGCGATATGGTGCTGCAGCCATAACTCCCAAGATGCACTACCTGGTGCATTATGCCAGATTAATTCGAGAACTTGGACCGCTGCCACAGTTTTGGTCAATGAGATTTGAGGCCAAGCATCAATATTTTAGGAGCCTCGCCTCGCGCGTCAAAAACTTCCGCAACATCACTTGAACCCTGTCAACACGGCATCAGCTGATGCAGAGTCACCAGCTGAAGGAGTTTTCATTTGATTCTGACCTCGTGACCCCATCTGGCAAGCCAGTTGAGCAGAGCGCTCTACCTCCTTGCGCTCAAGAAGTCCTGCCACTGAGTGCGCGCCAGGTGTCGCGTGCGTCACTCGACCACCGTGAGTACCGGTGTGGTACTGTCCTGGTGAAACCTTCCCAGGATGCCGAGCCACACTTCTGTAAAGTGGAAGCTCTGTATGTTGCCGAACGCAAGCTATTCATTTTGATTGAATTGCTAATGAACGAAGGTTTTGACCGGCACAGGTTTTGCTATCAGGTGCGCAAGTCTAGCGAGCTGAAACTCGTGAAGGCTGAAGAAGATGACACGCTTCACTGTGCTTTAGATTTATACACTGAGAGTGAAGTTGTGCCCAGATGGGAAGTACTGTAAGGTTTGAACTCGAGTGAAGTTGCTGTTGTCTGCTCAGAGACATTGTACATATGTAAAAGAATAAATATTGCAGTAAACATTCCGCTTGCTCTCAGAGGCCCTGTCAGTCGTATGTTTATGCTTCGAAACCCGGGTATGTGACGCGTGCACCCCCACTCGCGTTGCGGCCTAAGGTGTTGCTGGCAAACACGCACCAACTTTTTCAATTACTTTAGACGGAAAATTTTGTCCACACAATTCGATTGCAGCATTGGTTTAATAATTTCTAACAGCTGAAAAGTATGTCAATAAAAATTGATTGCAAGGGCAGCTTCCCTTTAATTCATGAATTGTGGCTTTCTTATATGCGAAATATGTATTTAACTCAAAAATTCAAAAACCTACCGAATACCCAGACGTCCTGATCTTGATCCGAATGTATGTGTCGTAATCAAACAACGACAATGACAAAATAGATAGAGGAGATTTAAAAGAAAAGGGAATTAAACCAAGGGAACAGAAAATAGTGTTGCTCCAAGGCTCGAACTGCCTAATTACGTTTCTGATGTATGTTCATCTCTGCATTACATCAGGCCATGGCCGCGAAAGAGCTCTTGAAAGTCCGCCATGGTCCTTCGGGTCTACTTGGCAAAGTCGGACTCATGTAGAAAACATATCGAAATTCTTCTTGGAGGCAACTTTGCAGTCCTCATTTTTAGAGCTTCCATAGAATCATCAGTAAAAAGGGTCCCTGTTGTGTTAGTGACACATTTCATCGACACTGATCGTTTCATTGACACTGATCGTTTCATCAACACTACCACACCGTGCTGTCAAGTTTCATCGACACGCAAATTGCACGCTGTAGGAACATTTCGTTGTGCGTTTATCACTGGGGTATGTATTAAACTATCCAACCCACCCAGTTCACGACGCTTCGCAGCGACAGTCTGCGGCAGTTCATTACAAAAATGTGAACTCGCCCAACCCACCCGTGCAAGCCACTTCGCAGCAGTGTGTACGGGTGGTCTCGCACCCGTCCATGTACCCGTACCCTTGCTCACCAACAGACCAGCGCACCCCAGTGGCGTCCCGAGGGTCAGCAGCACCCGGGGCAGTAGCCTGCCGTGACACCCCCCTCCCCATTGCGAATCCCCCCCCCCCCCCCGCGACGCCCCCCCGAGCGCTGCACCCGGGGCGATCAGCCCCTCCCCCCCCTTGTGACGCCACTGGCGCACCCTTAACCAAAAAAAACCAAAAAAGTCGTCGACGAAACATAGCAAGATACGCCGATAAAACTATGTGTTCATAAAATGTCGCAGTGTCGATGAAACAAACTGTCGGGGAAATGTTGTTTGATGAAACAGTGCCACCGCACAAAAAACCTGTTTCCGAGCCGCGTTGCTTCAACACCATTGCAACTTGCATTATTTTTAGAAACCCATTGCTAGGCAAAATGCACTCTATAAACAAAAAGAAAAAACTAGTGAATTTCACTTCCCTCTGCTGTTAAAGTTCACGACCTGAAATTGGATAAGGAGCAGCTGGTTCGTCTCCATCAGGCAAATTTAAAAGTTTTTGGACTGGACAAGGACTTGTTATTGGCATTATTGGTGCAAAATTATGACGAGTACAGCGGGTTCGGGCTTGAGAGTTAAGGGTTAATGTGGGGCTCCTTAAACCGAGGGGCACGGCGAGTGCACACTGACAGTGGGAAGCGACCACCTCCTATGTGATCTCGTCGCAAGTCTTACGACCTCAGCCTTCAAAGGGCTCTGGATGATTCGCTGTATGGAATAACTTCTCAGCATCTATTAGATGGATCCTATGATGAATTCGCTCCAACAGTACATCCCCTCGCCTTCCAGGAGGCAACTCACTTGATCCGGGTGCGAGAAGCTAGGGACCCCAAATCATGACAGTATATATTTGACCTCTGGGCCAGCTGACGGGGGCACTACATCAGCACCAACGAAGAAGAGGATTTCGCCTGGTACAAACCACAGCATCACAAAACCGAGAAACGCCTCCATTCAATCTAAACCAGTTCCAAAAGCCGTCCAAGCACTGAAAAACGGCCTTTCATTACTTCACACCACTGCCCTCGGCAACAAGTCTGGCCGCAGTCTGTGCATTGTAGTTCTTATCGACTCTAAAAAGGTTTGATTTGATCCTCTACATTGCACTAGTCTGGGGAACTTAAAACTAAGGCCTCTATGGAGGACCGCTTCACTTCATCATAGCGTTCCTGCAAGACTGACGATATCAAGCTTAAGTCTGATTGAATCAGGCCTAGTCACCGGCATTGCCATTCCACAGATCTCGGTCCTCTCACCCAACCTTCATCAATGTTGTAGCAGACTTTCCCTCACGTCAAGCAATTGGTGCTGTTTCTACGATATATTTCAAGTGAGCACAATGGCACCTCCAAAATTTAGAAAATCTATGCCACACCCCTTCAGACGACACCTCGGCGCACAGGGCACTGCCTGCTCCTCATCCACCACGAGGTGTTAGCCAATTAACCGAAGTGCGACCCAAGAGTCATAATGGCCGTCGACTTCATGGAAGCTTTCGACGTCCCTATTATGCTTCGAAACAGAGCACTAGAGCTGGGATTTTGCTCTCCACTGTGCTAACACGAGTTATTGTTATTTCCAGGGTGGCCTCAGTCGTGTGAATGGCCACAGGCGTCCCATTTATGCTTCGAAACGGATCACTGGCAGTGATCGAGTGTTCGCTGTCCACAGTGTTGACACATGTTATTGTGATCCTCAGCCACAGCCATTCCGTTCATGCTTCGAAATTGTGAGGCGACACAACTCCGTCAAAAATTGTGGAAGTTGAATTGCGTCCAGCAGTCTGGCATTCTGATGTCCGTTCGAACGGCACCAAGCAAACGCCGCAACTTTTTTCCTCGCTTCCTCCACTTTTCGGCGGCCTCAGGGCTCGTCAGTCTTGACCAGGGGCGGATGCAGGAATTTCCTGAGGGGGGGGGGGAAGGTCAGGTGTTGGTCAGCGTACCATGTGTTTAGGAACCCTTTCCCCCTCTCCTTCGTTTTACGCCCCAAATTTTACACATGCAGAAATCAAGGGAGGGGGTCAGGACATCCGGACCCCCCCTCTGGATCCACCCCTGGTCTTGACGTCACATGCCGTCTGCGAATGCTGTCTATCAGTTCTGTTGAGCCCTCGTATCCTTGTTAGTGTTCCAAAATTTACTCGATCTTGCTCCAGTGTAAGGGTTTTGTATCTTTGCATTTGAAGACCTACTATCCGCGTCCAGCATTGCTCCGTCTGTGTTATCACATGGCACGACCCGCAGAAGAAAAGCGTGGATCTACATGGGGTAAGATTTAGAGCACAGCCCTTCTTGTTTTCGGGAGAGCAGTGGAGGCCTTGAGCGATTGATTGACAACCAACAGAGCTTGTGAGTGGCTGTCTGAACCCACGTGATGGGCATCCTCAAGACCCCCATGGAGTACACGGGCGAGACTTGACAGAGGAAACTTTCCCCTCAGCAAAAAAAAAGCAACAGACGGAAACGGAGTGCCGCTCGTTTTATGTCGGAGTCTTATCGCCTCATGATTTTGTAAGTATCCTCTTTGGATGGGCCTTTAGTCGTGTAAATGACCACAGACGTCCCGTAATTATGCTTCGAAACAGATCACTGGCAGCGAGAGTTAGCCGCTCACAGTGCTGACACACGTTATTGTGATTCTTAGAGTGGCCTCGGTCATGTGAATGACCACAGACGTTCCGTTTATGCTTCGAAACAGATTACTGGCAGTGAGAGTTAGCTGCTTACAGTGCTGACACACGCTATTGTGATTTTCAGAGTGGCCTCAGTCATGTGAACGGACACTGATGTCCCGTTTATGCTTTGAAACAGATCACTGCCAGTGAGAGTTAGCCGCTCATAGTTCTTGCACATTATTGTGATACTCAAAGTGGCCACAGTCATGTGAATGGCCACGGACGTCCTGCAATTATGCTTGGAAACAGATCATTGGCAGTGATAGTTAGCCATTCACAGTGGTGACACACATTACTGTTATTCTCAGAGTGGCCTCAGTTGTGTGAATGGACATCTACTACCCGTTTAGGCTTCGAAGCAGATCACTGGCAGTGATAGATAACTGCTCACGGTGCTGACACACATTACTGTGATTCTTAGAGTGGCCTTGGTCATGTGAATGGCCACAGGCGTTCCGTTTATGCTTCGAAACAGATCACTGACGGTGAGAGTTAGCTGCTCACAGTGCTGACACACGCTATTGTGATCCTCAGAGTGGCCCAAGTCGTGTGAATGCACACCGATGTCCCGTTTAGGCTTCGAAGCAGATCACTGGCAGTGAGAGTTAGCTGATCACAGTCCTGATCAAAGCATAGTCCCAGTGCGACTGTCTTATGCGTATCTGCAAGTGTCTCTGGAGGGTGTGCACTGCCTCAAGTGTAGTGTGGTAGTTTGTTTTTCTTTGCCTGCGCAAGCAGTTGACATTTTATTCGAGCTTCAATCAGTATTTGTTTTTGGTATCCATGGCACCCGGGGTGTGTTTTCGACACTATAATGGGGATGCATTTGGCTGCAATGATGTGCATGAAGTCTAGCCATGTGTCATAGGAGTCTGTGGGGTTGTCTTAGAATATCATGCTTTAAAGGGCGAGGTGTATAAGCGCATTGAGGCATTTAGTGTTGAGTTCTGCGAAGTGGTGGAGGCGTCTGGTACGGGGTCTGAATCTAGGCAGCTGGTGTTGTGTCCGTTATAACTGCTTTGTAGTAAGAGCCCATGAGGCTGGGTTCTGTAAACCAATTTGAGATGAGTTTGAGGTTACATTAGATCAAGAAAGGAAGTGTAGTTGTTGCTGGCGCTGTAACTTGGTTCGTTTCATACTTGGATAAGTCCGAGTGTATCCCTGTAGACTAAGTGGGAGAGAGTCTGATAGCTCAGAGGGCACAGGTGTACTTGTGTCTGACCAGTTAATGTGGGCATTGAAGTGTCCAGCCACCAGCGCG